AGCCCCTGGAGAAGGATGTCATGCTTGGTAAAGTAGAGGGTCAGCGAAAAAGAGGAAGACCCTCAAGGAGATGGATTGACACAGTGGCTGCAACAATGTGCTCAAGCACAACACCGATTGTGAAGATGGTGCAGGACCAGGCAGTGTTTTCTTCTTTTGTAAATAGGGTTGCTAGGAGTCCAAACCGACTGGACGTCACCTAACAACAACAACATACTCTTGTTCAGGCATTCTTTCGTTGGCTAGTGGAGACTGTAAAAGTATTTAATTTAGATTAAATTTAGGACTAAGTAACAATAGTATTAATAGCATAATTTATATTCCTTTTAATTATTTGATGTCTGATGGGAAGCAGATTTAAGAGAAAGGCCAGTGTATGTGGTCAGGTTGTACAATTACAGCTTAGGGGGAATACCTTTGAGATATTGGAGTAAAAGAAGAGTTTAAATGAGAATTTAAGTGTTAGAGAGGTTAAGTAAGTTGTTTAAAGTGACAGAGCCAACCCAGTTCTATCTGAAATCAGAGCCTGTACTGCTAACAACTGTATTAACTGCTGCTTCCCCTGAATAGATACAATAAAACTTCGGGCAAGACGGACTTCTTTAATTTTTCAACACTTGAGTCAATGAATCAGAAAAATAACCTTTGATGAATAAATTCATGCTTCCTACACCTTCCACTTGACCTTGCACTTTACATTACTTAGCTTTTTGGGGGGTGAAGTGGGGAGGTGGCTTTTATTTAGGAGGGAGGCCTTTTAGTTAGGGCTGGGATATAACAAGTTCAGTATTTAGCCACTTTCCAGTGTATTTCTTTTAATAATTTTTTTTTGTGTGATTCAGAATATACACAGCAGAACATACACCAGTTGCACATTTTCTTCGTGTACAGTTCAGTGACATTGATTACATTCTTTGAGTTATGCAACTGTTCTCACCCTCAGTTTCACAGTTTTTCCTCCCCCATTATCCAAAGGACTTTTATTAACATTGCTTTTATACTACTAATACAGACTCAACTTTATACCCTTCTCTGGGAAAGGTAGAGTGTTTCAGTCCATGGTTTAAAAAGTTGATTAGCTTGATTGATTTTTACAATTGGAGAAGTGGAGAAACAGTTCTGACAAGTGAAGTGCTATTAGTGACTGGACTATTACTAGGATACATTTTTTTTTTTTTTATTGTACTTTACGTGAAGATTTACAGAACAAATAGTTTCTCATTAAACAGTCAGTACACATATTGTTTTATGACATTGCTTAACAACCCCACAACATGTCAATCCTCTCCCTTCTTGACCTTTTTTTTTTTTTTTTTTTTGGTGAAAATATACATAGCCAAACATACACCATTTTAAAAATTTCTACATGCACAGTTCAGTGACATCAATTGTGTTCTTCCAGTTCTGCTGCTATTCTCACTTTAGATGAAGGTTTACAGAACAAAATAGCTTCTCATTAAACAGTTAGTAGACATGTCGCCCTATGACAATGGTTAACAACCCCACTGCCTGCCAGCTCTGTCATTACTCAACCTTGGGTTCCCTATCACCAGCTTTCCTGTCCCCTTCTGCCTTCTAGTCCTTGTCCCTGGACTGCTAAGTCTGATTAGTCTCGTTTTGTTTCATGGGACTGTCCAATCCCCGGCTGAACGGTGAACCTCAAAAGTGACTTCACCACTGAGTTTAAAAGGGTGTCTGGGGGCCATACTCTTGGGGTTTCTCCAGTCTCTTTCAGGCCAGTAAATCTGGTCTTTTGTGTGGGTGTTAGAATTTTGTTTACATCCTTCTCCAGCTCTGTCCAGAACCCTCTGTTGTGATCCCGGTCAGAGCAGTCAGTGGTGGTAGCCAGGTACCGTCCAGCTGTACTGAACTCAGTCTGGAGGCCTTGGTAGCTGTGGTGCATTAGTCCTTTGGACTAATCTGTTCATTGTATCCTGTTCTCTTCATTCTCCCTTGCTCCCGAAGGGATGAGACCAGTAGAGTATCTTAGATGGCTGCTCACAGGCTTTTAAGACCCCAGACACTACTTAACAAGGTAAAATGTAGAACATTGTCTTTATGAACTGTGTAATGCCAGTTGAGCTAGATGTTCCCTGAGACCATGGTCCCCACAGCCCTCCGCCCAGCAATTCAGTCCCTCACGGAGTTTGGATGTGTCTGTGGAGCTTCTATAACCTTTCCTTGTACAAGTTGTGCTGGTTTCCCCAGTATTGTGTACTGTCTCACCCTTCACCCAAGATACCACTTATCTATTGCCTATTTAGTATTTCCCCCCCACCCCTCCCATCCCTTGTAACCAACAAAGATTGTTACTTTTTGTGTGTACACTTTTTCATGAGTTTTTACAATAGAGGTCTCATATAATATTTGTCCTTTTGTGATTGACTTATTTCACTCAGCATAATGTCCTCCACTTTCATCCATGTTATGAGATGCTTCACAGATTCATCATTGTTCTTTATCATTGCATAAAACTCCATTGTGTGTATGTACCATAGTTTGTTTATCCATTCATCTGTTGATGGGCATCTAGGTTGTTTCCATCTTTTTGCTGTTGTGAACAATGCTGCAGTGAACATGGGTGTGCATATGTCTGTTTGAGTGACAGCTCTTATTTCTCTAGGGTATATTCCTAGGAGTGGGATTGCTGGATCGTATGGTATTTCTATTTCTAGCTTTCTAAGGAAGCGCCATATCATTTTCCAAAATGGTTGTATCATTTTGCATTCCCACCAGCAGTGCGTAAGAGTTGCGATCTCCCCGCAGCGCCTCCAACATTTGTTAATTTCCAGTGTTTTTGATTCGTGCCAGTAATGCTGGGGTGAGATGGTATCTCATTGTGGTTTTAATTTGCATTTCTCTAATGGCTAGTGGTCACGAGCATTTCCTCATGTGTCTGTTGGCTGCTTGAATGTCTTCTTTGGTGAAGTATCTGTTCATTTCCTTTGCCCATTGTTTAATAGGATTATTTGTCTTTTTGCTGTAGAGGTGTTGGATTTTCTTATAGATTATGGAGATTAGACCTTTGTCTGACTTGTACTGTCCAAAAATTTTTTCCCAGTCTGTAGGTTCTCTTTTGACTCTTTTGGTGAAGTCTTTTGAAGAGCATAGGTGTTTGATTTTTAGAAGATCCCGGTTGTCTAGCTTATCTTCTGGGGTTTGTGTGTTGATGGTTATGGTTTGTATGCTATTAATGCTATGTATTAGGGCCTGTAGCATTGTTCCTATTTTTGCTTCTGTGAACTTTATAGTTTTTGGCTTTGTATTTAGGTCTTTGATCCATTTTGAATTAGTTTTTGCGTATGGTGTGAAGTATGGGTCCTGTTTCATTTTTTTGCAGGTGGATATCCAGTTTTGCCAGCACCATTTGTTAAAAAGACTGTCTTTTTCCCATTTGATGTAGGATACATTTTTTTGTTTCTTGACATAAATGTATTTTGATAGATCCTTTTCTCTTTTCATCCAAGCTATTTTTATTTTCAAATTTCTGTTCTGTTTGGACAAAAAAATAAAGTTGAGTATGCATCTCTTTTATGTCTAAGGAACTCTTCTACATGGATTGAGAAAAATAATTAAAATGAATATTTGGTGATATGGCATTTCTATTAGGTTCTCCTTACCACCCCCACGCCCACATGCACACACAGCTTGTTTGAAAGATGTAAGTAATTTACTTAAAGCTTTTTGCAACTTTTTAACAAGCTGAAAATTTTCAGTCAGGGCATATTATATTCAAACAGATGACGAATTTGCCAAATGCTTTGAAAATGAAAATTTCAAGTGTTAGGTAATAGGGTTTTTCAAAAGAAACTTTTAAGTTGATTCTTTACTGTGAATGAAGATAATTTAAGAGGACAATTTCTAATTTTATCTTTTCTTCATGACCTTCTTCCCTATCCCTATCCACATCAAAGTTAGGATACATACTTCAGTGATTAACTGGGAGAATCAAAGTATTTATGAATTCAGTAATCAGTTATCTAAAAGTGTTATCTATTACCAAGGATAAAATGTCTTTCAGTGCCACCTATGTTTTTAATCACTCATGCAGATAACTAATAATCTTTAATTGTTGGAATATTGGATTTCTTGGAGTACTAGACAAGTCCTTTAAACTCTGTCCCTCAGTTCTTTTTGAAAATGGGCATACACTTCTAACTGGTCTTTTGACATTCCTTCCAACATTGATTCTACTACCTTTAGAGGTTATCTTGAGAATTATTTGTTTAAAAACCATAAATAATAACTACAATACAATTATTTTAAGTAGTAGATATAAATTGAATTTTATGGGCAATTAAAATATTATAAAATACTTTTAAAAGGTACGGTATTTAATCTGGATAGAAAGGTGATCATAATCTAATATAGGTGTTTATATTTTCTGGTTTAAGAATATCCTATACCTGTGCCTTTCCAAGCTTGGAAATGCTTCAGAAAGTCAGAGGTATTTCCTTGAGCCATGACATTCTTTTTTAGCTTCTTTAGGAGGGAAAAACACATTAAGATAATGTTGCATTAAAATATTTGCCAAAGGGTGCTTGGTGAAAGAACAGGACTACACTAATGGACTAATTGGAGAAGCCAGTTTCAAGCTAATAAACACTAGTATATGCTATCTCCTGTATAATGAAGGGTAAGTTACAGTCTTATTATTTCAGAGAAAGAGAACTGAACCATTTTAGGTTATTTGACATTTCTTTTATTCTGCCTAGTTTTAAAATTTAATAACTTTCTGGGAGTTGTCTGTGATTAAAAGGAATAAACCCAAGGAAAAAACAGGGGACAGAACTAATGGAAAATTCATTCCTCAGTTCAATAAAATTATACAGTAAAGGAAAAATATATGCTAATAATTCTATAGCATTAATTATATGGGATTCATTTTTTGTGAATAACAAAGTTCTCTTTGTGAGACAAAAGACATATATTGTCATTTTGTGCACATATATTTAGGTTGTTGACTGACACTCTTTTTAAAATTTTCTCCCCCCCAACAGAATCTGTCTATGATCTTCTCCCAAAGGAGTTACAGTTACCTCCACCTAGAGAAACGTCTGTAGCATCAATGAGTCAGACAAGTGGTGGTGAGGCAGGCTCGCCTCCTCCAGCTGTAGTTGCTGCTGGTATGCATTTCATTTTACTTTATTAAAGAAAACTAGGTTATTATCTGGCCAACATGAACAGTGCTGGCAAAGTTCATAGCAAAAAGAGTGTGATTTGAGGGTTTTTTTTTAGGAGGTTTTAAAATATACACTTTTAACATTAAAAACTTTCAGTATAACTTTGTTGATTTAATTATTATTTCTTAAAATTTCTCATTGACACAGACAAGTGCCATCTCCTAGAATGGACCTTGTCTTCAAATATGGGAACCAGTTTAAAGCTGTTTTTGTTGACTTGCACATTAAAAGGTTAAATACCAAGCTATGGATAGAAAATTGTATTTGAGTCTCTGGTTTGCAATTTTCTTTTTTAAACTTGCTCAAAGGAAAAAAATATTTTGTATTATCTGAGAAAGGACTCAAATCTCTTTTCTGTTTGTTGCATGTTAAAACAACCTTTTCCTTACATTTAAAAATATATACAACTTCATACTTACTTTAAATTCAGTTGAAAATAATGGTAAATTTGAATTTAATATTTATATAAAAACATTATCTAATATCAGTGGAAAATTATGGAAAGTAATGTTTGAAATTTACTAGTTTATTTTTACTCAGTTCTCAAATCATACACTTTATGATTACATAATGTTGGTTCACATTTTTATTTTGAATTAAAAGATTGACAGACAAGCTAATAGAAAAAAAGTCTTGATTAGCGATAAATTCATATTAATACTTCCCATAGTATTAGTTTGCCCAAGTGTTATTTATTTTTTGATTGGGTTTATAGACTGCTAAATGTGTTTGCTTTATGAATGGAAATAAAATTATGTACATTCTGAAGTTTCATCTGCCCTAATTAGAGGTTTCTGCCTAATATGATACCTCTTTTAAAATGGTACTTAAAGTCCATTGAGGCATTGCTTTTAGTAAATTCTTTTAGTTTCAAAAAGAGAACAGTGAAGTGGAAAGTTGTGATTCAAATGAGGATATTGGTATTATAGCAGAACTTGGGCTATTTTCTTGTATACATCAACCCTATGTACCATTAACCTTGTGTACCAGTCTTTCCCTTGAGCTGTATGTATGGTGTAATACATAGCCTTCCTGGTTGAGGGCAGGAAGACTTCAAACGTGGCAAAGAAATTTATCAGCCCTGCTTACTGTTCATGTGTTGCCAGACATTTTCTAACAGATTCTGTGGATTTAATTGTGAATTAGTGAACTTATTTAGTAATCAAATTTATAAGATGACCTGGTTTCACTTTATAGTCAGTGGGTTCTAAAGTGGCCCTGAATATTTTTTCTGGAATTTAAAGTTTAAAAATTGTATGACATCTTGAAATACAAAAGAAATAAAATATTTTTATAAAAAATTTCACTTTAAATCCACAGGAAGAAATTGACTAACTGATTTCTTTAGTATCTTTTGAGGTTATTTAAAGACATGTTGAATCTGTATAGAACTAAAAGTCTGTTTCTTCTGTGCTTTTTAGCATCTGTTGACAGTAGCTCCAGTTCCTTTTAAAGGCTGAAAGAATGTAGCTAGGTTTGGAAAAAGAACAATACTCCCTTTTAAATAATACTAAACTAAATCTCGGAAGTTCTTATATATAAATATTGAAAGGTCTTGAATTTGGGTCACTAATGCCATGTGAGTTTCTCCCTCCTCTCATATATTTGAGAAAATCCTCTCCTGATAAATTAGATTAAAAGCTATGAGTTGAAAAATCATGAAAATAAGAAATTTGACCAAAGGAAGCATTCTGAATTGCAAAGATAGAAGTAAAAAATTCTTATTAGATCTTGAAATTATTGACATTGTAAAGATGATAGAGTAGAAAGGTGACTTTGACAGTTTTCTTATATTCATACACGGAACGTTTCTATGATCTAAAACCAAGTCTTTTGTAATTTTTTTTTTAACATAAATTTTCTTTTAGTAACCAGCATAGTTTGTTCTGAGATTCTAATGTCTTATTGTTAGGATAGAGGCTTTATTGTATACCATTATAGATAAAAGAGTTTAAATTATAGACTAATTATTGTAGGGAGATGAGTTAGTATATATCATTACAGTCAAATTTTTGATTTGGCATATTAATATCTGACATAAGAGAGATTTGGAGTATATTACCAGTTTCTCAGTGTTTTCATGGCGAAAAGACTAGATGTCTAAGAAAAGGAACATTAATTTAGACTTCTGTGAGTGTTTTTTGATCTATAACATTTGCTGTTTAAATATGAAATGCATAAAAATGATGACTCTTGATGTAGTTAATTCTTCAGAATTTTGAAGGAGCCGGATTGGCTGCTGTCAGGTATGAGGGCCTGGTGGAAACAGACTTCTAGTTCTGCCATAAAGGTTTGTGTTTCATGAGTTCTAAATCAATTTAAAATCTAGAGGCTGGGCATATGGGTGTTCATGGACATTCTTTGTTATTTAATTATTAAAAATGTGTTCTCAGATTCACCAATCTAGATTTTTTTTATCTTATATATTACTGATTAATGAGTAAATATGCTGCTAATCCACAACCCAGAATATTAGGTAAAAGAGTGTCTCTTCAGCCTTTTTTGTACCCATCGCTGTGACTTAATGGCACCTAACAATAGCAACAACACTGTTCACACTTTTAACACATTCCTGTCAATAGTCTCTTTTTATCCTGAGTCTAGGATAGGAGATGGGGTAGGGAGGGCTTACTTCTGCTCAACTCCTCCCCTATCCATGGGGCCAAGTGTCAGAATCTGGGAGGAGGTATAGTTGAGAATCAACAGCCTGAAATTTGTATTCCTCCCCATTTTCAAGACTTCTGTTTTTGTCTCAGTGGAAAGGTAATTATCATTTGAGGTTCAATATGCAAATAAATACTTTAGAAATACAGAATTTCTGAACAGTATTGTAGGTTGTCAGTAGATAATACAGAGGCCGTTTCCTAAAACAAAAAAGTTATCCAAATGAATTGGTATTTATCCAAACTAACTGGTATTTTTTATCAAAATAAGGAATTGATCAAGATGAAATGGGAATCATGATAAGTTTCTTTTTATTTTTTGGTGAATCCATAGTATAGGTTATAAAGAACTAAAATGTAGGTATTATTCAGAGAACTAAAACCAAACGTTACTAGAATTTGGGGCTTTTGAAGAGAGGTATGGCAGATATTTTTTTTAGAACAGCCATACTGAGATACTATTCACATGAAAAACAGTCAGGTATTCTTTTTAATCTAATTATATCACAAATGGTTAAGCATTCCAGTACTAGCCAAAAGGTTGGCGATTCGAACCCACCCAGAGGTGCCTTGGAAGATAGGCCTGGCAGTCTGCTTCTTCAGGGTCACAGTCTTGAAAACTCTATGGAGCAGTTCTACTCTGTACACATGGGGTTGCCATGAGTTGGAATAAACTCCACAGCAACTAACAACATATGTTTATAGTTTTTATCTTTAGGTTTACTTAATTTATTTAAAATAGGAAGCTTATCACAGAAGTGAAGAATAAACTTTAATCTTCATTTTAAAAAATCAAATTATTTTCTCAATTCATCCTAGACTTTTTTGTCTTTGTTTCAGGAGATGACATTATGTTTATTAATTTATATAAAAATATATTTTGGTAAGGGGACTGTTTCAAGCAAAAATCTCCTCAATAGTTTCTTTAAAATTTTATTCTAATTTTTGAGCTAAACAATGAATTGATGAAACTATTGATTTTATAATTCAGCCAGAGAATCTTAACTCTTCTAAAAATAAACCAAACTAATACAGTTGCCATCAAGTTGATTTGACTCATGGCGACTCCATGTATTTCAGACTAGAACTGCAGAGTTTTCAATGGCTGTGACCTTTCAGAAGAAGATCTCCAGAGCTTTCTTTGGAGGTGCCTCTGGGTGAATTTGAACTGCCAACCTTTCAGTTAGTAGCCAAGCGCTTAATAATTTACACCACCCAGGGACTCCCTTCTAAGAATAGCTAGTTAGTAATACCTTTTCTTATTTTCATAAAATTGTTATTTTACTTTCAGTAATCATATATGGTTGTTGTTATTGTGTGCCATCCAGTCCATTCCGACTCATAGTGACCCTGTAGGACAAAGTAGACCTGCCCCAAATGATTTCCTAGGCTGTAATCTTTATGGGAGTAGATCACCAGGTCTTTTCTCCCATGGAGTGGCTGGTAGTTTTGAACCACTGACCTTTCAGCTAGCACCTGCAAGCACTTAACTATTGCACCTTAACTATTGCACTTAACTATTGCACTAGGGCTCCTTCCAATTCTACATTAATACACTTATAAAAAGAACCCTGGTAGTGCAGTGGTTAAGTGCTCAGCTGCTAACCAAAAGGTGGACGGTTCAAATCCACCCAGCAGCTTTGAGGGTGATAGAACTGGCGATCTGCTTCCATAAAGATTACGGCCAAGAAGACCCTGTGGGGACAGTTCTACTTTGTCACATGGGGTTGCTGTGAGTCAAAATCAACTCAATAGCACCCAACAACAACGCTTTTCAGAAGTAAAATATTCTCAGTGCACTAATACTCTGTAGCAATTTTTATCACATACAGATACGAAAAAAACCAGTTGCTGTTGAGTCGATCCCAACTCATGGCGATCCCATGTGTGTCAGAGTAGAACTGCAATACATAGGGTTTTTAATGACTGATTTTTTAGAAGTAGATTGCCACACCTTTCTTTCATGGTGCCTCTGGGTAGACTTGAACTGCCAACCTTTTGGTTAGCAGCCGAGCGTGTTAACCATTTGCACCACCCAGGGACTAAACCAGTTGCCATGGAGTCAGTTCTAACTCATGGTGACCACATGTGTGTCAGAGTGGAACTGTGCTCCATAGGGTTTTCAATGACTGATTTTTTGGAAGTAGATTGCCTGGCCTTTCTTCTGAGGCACTTCTGAGTGATAGTGAATTGATCTCAGTTGTTCCATATGGCCGTTTCCACTTTTCCTAGAAAACTGGACTACTTCTAGAAGGAATCAGATTCTAGTTCCAAACATGT